ATTAAATCAAATCTTCTAAAAGCATATAATTTCCCTGCAGAATTCTTTGATCGATACAGGTTCTCCATATGCTGTCTTAAAATAAAGAGGCATAGATCTGGACGATATTATTTCAGATATTTCCAGACATTATTGCATTATGCTAGACTTGCATCAGCAAAATTCAATGACGACAAAATCATACTTCGCCTTGTAATCGTCCGACCAATGATCTACAAAATCCTATTCAATATAATTGATTTCTGCGAGAAAAGAAGACACTGGATTAGATTTGGAGTTTCTTCGGCGTCCGTTACTTAAGATGCAATGATTGAAGTTATCAAGAGGCTGCCTGTGAAGTATGCAGACGATATTTTCCCAAGACTTTTACAGCACGGTAAATATGGAATAGAGTGCGAACTCTTGACATGCGCAAAGGCGACAAAGTTTCCATTTTTTTTTCTTTTACTTCTTTCTAAATATTTTTCCTACCGTCATTTTTCTCTTGCCATTTTTTAATGCTTACTTTTTCATATTTGTTCACGGCTTATATTTTGTCATTTCCGCTAGTTAAATAAATTTTATGAAACTTTCATTTTGTATGCATGATTTCAATGTATGCAAAGTATAAACGTCACCAGAATGAGAAATTTAAATAAGAAAAAAATAAAATGCTGCAAAAGAAAAAAATAAATAAATCTACTTTTATAAGATCCAGATGAAGTCAAAAATGGATTTTTATGTGCCTTGCTTGATACATGCTTAGATGATCATGTATCTTTCGATACATGACTGACGATGCAGATTTTTTTCCCGCAGTAGGTTGCCATTTCTTTCTGCGGTAGAGCAGTTGAAATCCAACCCGATCTGTCTTATTATTTACCCACAGCTGGGAGAGGGGGGATAAAAGAGGATTAATACCTTTCTCAAGGGTATTAGGACGTAAGTGAATGTAATGGATTCGACTGGAATTCCGATTCAGTTATGTGCCATGCGTGATACACGCTTAGGCGATCATTTATCTTTCGATACATGACTGACGAAGCATATTTTTCCCCGCAGTAGGTTGCCTTTTCTTTCTGCGTTAGACCAGTCGCCATTTAAGGCTATAGAATCGGTCTGTCCTGGTATTTACCCATAGCTGCGGGGGTGAGAAGAAGAGGATTCATACCTTTCCCAAGGGTATTAGCACGTAAGTGAATTTCAGTTAGTTATGTGCCATGCGTGATACACGTTTAGGTTATCATGTATCATTCGATACATGACTGACGAGGCAGATATTTTTTCCGCAGTAGTTTGCCATTTATTTGTGCGGTAGACCAGTTGCCATCCAAAGCTAGAGAACCCAATCTATCCTTCTATTTACCTATAGCTGACGGGAAGGGAAGAAGAGGATTTATACCTTTCCCTAAAGGTGATAATGCCACAACGACGCAATAGGGACTACTGGGAGATAAAAAGAGTGAGAAGTTTTTAGAAGGAACAGGAAACCTAATTCAAAAAGGGATAAACCTCTACTCCACTTCAAAAGGCCAGGGAGGAATGTGAACTGGACGAACCTATCTACGACAAAAATGTAACAACAAAATAATAAAATATTGTAGTTTAGGGGGAGAGGTCAGAAATAAAAAGTTGAAGTAGACTTTAGATGGAACCGTTAACCCAATCCTAAACAGGAAATAAGGGATAAATGCCTACTCCTGTTCAAAAGACTGGAGAAATGTATAAACCGGTCGAACATGATTCTTTTAATTTTATTTATTTATTTGCTTTTGTATTTGAAGAAAAGAAAGGAAGAAGGAAAGAAAAAAGAGAATAGCGAAAGAAAACGAAGAAATAAGCAAGAAAGGAAAATAAGCTGAATCCGTGTCCCCCAACTAAGGAATAAATAGTCGGACATGTATCTGAAAGAATAATTGTTGTTTTAAAAAAATGTTAATGTAATATTCTCTTGCAAAAAATATTTCTTAGAGCCCAAATCATGTCTCGGCTTTAAAAGGTTTGATAAGCCGTAAAAATAACCAAATCTATCAATCAATTAATTTATCATTTATCGCAATTTTACAGAGAATAAATAAAATATATAAATCGATTAAATATAAATGATGGAAATCAAATAAGTAAATAAATTTAAAGACATGGAGAAAAAAGAACTGGGAAAATATGAGAAACTAGCTTTAAGGCCGCCCTATCGGAAGGATCTTGATTTAGCCTTTGGCTTGTTCAAGAGTTTGAGACTCCCTAAGTCTTTGCATATTCTCAGCATTGGAAGCTCTCCTGGCTGCCGTTTGAGTTGCATTTTCATTTGCACAGGATTTTCTTTTCTTCGCTGCAGTATTGACTTTTTTGATTGCAATCTGGTCCTCTGTTGGCAGAGATTTCTTTTTGCGACGCATACTGCTGCCGTATGCAATAGGCAACAATAAACTACAGATGAACTCAAAATTGATCACTGCATTTGAGTATTGTGTTAATATTTAAGCTTATGTTTTTTTTAAAGTTCAATAATAATTCTTCTGCCGCCACTTGATTTAAAGACAATTTGTTTTACGTAGGTCCTTAATTTCCGTACAAACATATGTTCATATCTATCTATCTATCTATCCCTAACCCAATCTATCTATCTATCTGGGGCAATTTATAAAATGAATTTAATATAGTGTAACAATGGGAATCTCGAAATTAGAATTAGTTATATATTCAATATTTGAAGAGTTAGAAAAACATAATAGCTAATTAAGTAAACAATTTATTTGTATCTATAAAAAGAATGTATAAGAATAAAAATGTCTTAAAATAATTGTCGGACTTTGTCCATTTCATAATGTGTGACGTCATTTGTTTACATTTGGATACGCATTGAGCAGATATGAATGTACATGAGAGAATCATGGAAGATTGAAGTTTAAATACAGTAAATTCGACATTGCTAATCGAACGCTCCTTCGTGGCCAAATCGGTAAAGGCACGTCAAGCTAAATGACGGTTGCGTATAGGATACAGGTTCGAACCCTGTCGGAGGACGAATATTATCTGTGAAAATTTCTCGGACATTCAGGCCGGTAAATGTTGTTTAATACTGTTTATCATAAACAGAGCATTTACTTAAATATGTGTACCTATAAAAAAATTGTATAAACATAAAAATGTCTTAAAATAAACAATTTATATTAACAAATAACTCGCCTATAATTATGCACAAACCCTATATATATATACGCGTTCAAAAAACCGCCCTATCGGACGATATTTAAGTTACGACTTGCGGAGGATTCTTGAATGAGCCTTCGTCGCAATAGTTAGAAGAACTCAAAATTGATCGTTGCATTTAAGTATTGCATTAATATTCAAACTTACCTTTGAAAAGTTCAACGTTAATTTTTCTCTCGGCACTTAATTTAAAGACAATTTGATGTACGTAGGCCCTTACTTTCCATACAAACATTTATTTTTATTTCGCTGGATTTCGCAATTAATTTCGAGTATTCACAAATTTATTTCCAAGTTATAAAAATTGTTATAGCACAAAAAATTGTTGCAAAAAAATCACGTAAAAAAATCACAGTAATGAAAACTTTGGAATCCAAAATTTCTGTGACATGGAAAGTTAAAGAGTTTTGTCCCTTTAATTGAAAACGTGTGACACAGGGACACACTGACATTGGCATTTATTATATAGAAGAAGATAGGGTGTTGCACGATTACAGATGGAGGAGAAAAATGTTTAGTGAATAAAATATCAGATTTCATGTGCAGACGTTAGAAGTATAGAGCTGGGGCAGACTTTAGAATGAACCAGGAACCAAATCCTAAACCGGAAACAAGGGATAAACCTCTAACCCTGTTCAAAAGACCGAGATAGATTGTAAGCCGGGCGATAGACGAATCCATCTACACCTGCTGAGGGAAAAATAAATCGTAAATAAAATTTCAGAGTTTAGACGAAGACGTCAGATTTATAGAGTTGAAGTGGACTTTAGAAGAAACCGAATACACAATCGTAAACCGGAAACCAGGGATAAACCTCTACTCCTGTTCAAAAGACCGAGCGAAGAATGTGAACCAGACAACAGGCGAAGCTGTCTACTCCTACCGAGGGGAAAAAATAAATTCCACTCCTGTTTAGTGTGTATATTTTTACAAAAAATGTTCTATTTTTTATCAGTTGTGAACCAAGTTACAGCCAAAGATTTGATCCCATAGTTCTGATTTAAATTCACGCCTTGCCTTGAAGCAAATCTCGCTGTTGTTGACAGCTGAAATTAATAGCAAAAGTCGGAAGACATTGCATCACCCACCCGCAGCCAGCAGGCAACATATATCACGGCTTGAAATCGAAAAGAAAACCAACAAAGTTCCCTGAAAATGACAACGAAAGGAAAGAGAAACCTCCAGATAGCTGTGGCCAAGTAAGGGTTCGGTGTCAAGAAATTTAATTTAGACCGTGGTGGTCAGTTGGCGTTGCAATATGCTGTCTCTGATGTCGTAAGACTTTCTTTACTGCGTTGGTTTTATTATTAGGATCGAAATCGACGGTGAAGTATGGAAAGAAATTGACAGTATGGATATCAGGCAAGAGGAACTGGGAAATAAATGATCAAAAGTAGAGTACTAATAGATAGATAGATAGATAGATAGATAGATAGATGAATAGATAGATAGATAGATATGGACATAGATAGCTAGATATGAACATAGATAGATAGATAGATAGATATGAACAGACCGTCATAAATAGATAGATAGATAGATAGATAGATAGATAGATAGATAGATAGATATGATATGAATAGATAGATAGATAGATAGATGGATAGATAGATGGATAGATGAATAGATAGATAGCTAAATATGAACATAGATAGATAGATAGATAGATAGATATGGACATAGATAGCTAGATATGAACATAGATAGATAGATAGATAGATAGATAGATAGATAGATAGATAGATAGATAATGAACAGACCGTCATAGATAGATAGATAGATAGATGGATGGATGGATATGAAACAGACCGTCATAGATAGATGGATAGATAGATGGATGGATAGATAGATGGATGTGAACATAGATAGATAGATGGATAGATAGATAGATAGATGGATGGATAGATGGATATGAACAGACCGTCATAAATAGATGGATAGATAGATAGATAGATATGGATAGATAGATGAATAGATAGATGAATATGGACATAGATAGCTAAATATGAACATAGATAGATAGATGAATATGGACATAGATAGCTAGATATGAACATAGATAGATAGATAGATAGATAGATAGATAGATAGATAGATATGAACAGACCGTCATAAATAGATAGATAGATAGATAGATAGATAGATAGATAGATAGATAGATAGATAGATATGAACAGACCGTCATAAATAGATAGATAGATAGATATAGATAGATAGATAGATAGATAGATATGTACAAACATAGTTATGAACAAACATAGAAAGAAAGAAAGAAAGAAAGCAAGAAAGAAAGAGCCAAGTATCTATAGAAATTGATGGTATCGATATTAGGCAGAGAAATTATTTTGATTTTATATAGAAAATAAATGATCAAAAATGTAATAAACTGCTTCCTCGTCTGGGCTGGAGTGTCTCAGTCTTCAAATTGTTTGGAATAAATATTCTTATGGGGGTAAAAAATTCTTTCTCTTCAACAAACTCTTTATCACAGACGCAAAATAGATAGCTCTTTGCTAATCGATCGTTATTTCCATCGAAGATGTTCATATTAGCTCTAGTCTTTGGTTTAACCAGTTCAGACGTTTACAACTGGAACAGGCGATGCGACTTCGGAAGAGTTCACTTATCCTCATTTCCAACCATGTCTCTAACGTAAGAAACAAGTTCCACTCAGACAGATATTCGTCAAAATCTGTAACTTTTATCGAACAGACTCCAAAGTGTGTGTTTTCCATCTTATCCCGGCCTTACGGCCACATCACGTTAAAACCCCGATTCCTGTACGATCACCGAAGTTAAGCAACACCGATCCAGATCAGCATCTAGATGGGTAACTGCTTGGGAATACCAGGTTCTGTAAATTTAGATGTGCGGGTGGTTTAATGGATAACGGCTAGGAATTGGAATTCAGAGATACAATTCTAGTTGGGTCCGTATTATTCACTTACGCGCAAATACCCTTGGGAAAGCTAGGAATCCATCTCTTCTCCCCAGCTATGGGTTAATTAGTAGGAATTTTAAAACTAAAAGCATTATTATCTCCGAAAAATTCTTACATTCTAAAAATATTTTCTGGCTTTAAATAACCTGCAATAGGTTGATAAGCCGTAAAACATCAGTCAGTTTTATTTATCTCTACAATCTGCATTTCATACCACCTTCTATCCCATTCAAATCTTACTCCTTATTCTTCGCTACCACACCGACTGCGATAGTCTGATAATATTTTAGGACTAGTTCAGAGTGATATTAAAACTAGCATGTGTTTTTTTTTTTTGTTTTTTTTTTTTTTTGTTGGTGGTTTTAGTTTAGCTGCATATCAATCTCTGTGTGTTATTTAGTGCTGAAATCTAAATATTTTGTACGCAATTTTATTTTATTTTGAGAGATGGGGAAATAATAATGCTTTCAGCAATACAAGCCTTACTAATTAACCCATAGCTGGGGGATAAGATGGATTCCTACCTTTACGAAGGTTATTTGCGTGCAAGTGAATATAACGAACCCAACTTGAATTGGAACTCGGCTCTCCGACTAGCAATTCCTATCCGTTGTCCTTTACACCACCAGCAAATCCCAGCTTACAGCACCTGGTATTCCCAAAAAGTCGCCCATCTAGGTACTGACCAAGTTCAACGTTGCTTAACTTCGATGATCTTATGAAAAACGGTGTTTCAACGAGATATGTCCGTAAGCCGGACTGTGTTACTGGCTTATATATTCTAATGGTTCAAACTTATCCTAACGATTTTTGTGTTCATTTGGTGTTAAGATTGGATAAGTAGACACTGTGATCAATTGTGGTTATTATTATTATTATTATTATTTGTGTGTGTGATATGTCTCCTGCTTATTATTATTAGTTATTTAGATGAGTATATGAAATATGTTTCGGGGTGAAATTCTATAAAATCCGAAAATACTTTTGATACAGCCTATTATATAAGAGGGACCATTGATAAGATTCTCGATTAAAACAAGAAACAAATCACAAAACTTCATCAAACGCGCATGCTCTTATCCCAAGGTACTGCAATGGCTGTCAAGATATATTCACGATTGCCTTTCTGCACGAACGTGATATCAAGGCGCTTTCTCTCCAAGCGCTTGTCAGTCATTCCTCCGACATCACATTTGTGTTCAACAGTATCTATGAATGGATCTTGATTATTATTATTATTATTATTATTATTATTATTATTGACTGGAACAGTATTAAATTATACTGGAGATCTAATATTATTGTCTCTTACCATGAAGTCGCATTGACTTCAGAGAACATCTTTTACAGGTTGCTGGTAATTTCTGCTAACGTCTACATACTTGGAACATAGAGGTTCATGTTACGATCTAAAGATCTGGGATTAAATAAAAGGGATTATTATTATTATTATTATTATTATTATTATTATTTTCTTTATTTCTGGCGTTTACACATTTCTTTCCGGGTCCCGCCCAGGGACCTAAGGTTAGAGATGGCATCATCACACTTTCCACTAACAAAAAAAAAATAATTCATAGATAAAACCCTTCGTAAAGTACGGGCTGTTATTATTATTATTATCATTATTATTATTATTATTATTATTTGTGTATATTATGTTTTCTGCTTTGTATCCTGTAGAACCGGGTCAAAACTATGGTTCTTAGGCCCTATAGGATAATTGTCATTTAACTGATAGCACTTTTCGTAGTATATGAGATGTTCCTTGTAAGGCGATTTTCTAGACAAGTTGTATGTTGATGTTACCTGGGACACGGTTAGTAAAATTGTCCATTCCTTTTTCTCACGAGGCCCAGGGCTCAGATCACTGTTGTTTTCATTCTTCATTCCCCACATCCAGTTAATCTCGATCTCCAGGTCCATGTATTTGGACAATTTCTCGATCATTTTCCTGGAGGAGTTTCTCTCGGATGCCACTGCTAAGCCAATAAGCATACATTTTTTTAAGTTCCTTGTCTTTTATCAGATTATCAGGTCTGTTGGCTTTTATTTCCCTGTCAGCTTGAATTGGTATGTTCCAGAGGATAGTTACATCGTTATTATAGGTAACTGTTTCTGGTTGGTGCTCATACCATCTCTAAGTGGTTTCGATTTTGTATTTCTTGCATATCTTTCAGTGCCTATATGTCACTATATTGTTATGCCTGTGGATATATTCATTTTTTGCTAGTTTCGGACATCCTCAGATAATATGGTCAACAGTTTCATCATATTTTCTGTAGATCTTGCATTTCTGGTTAGTTCCATCCTTGATTATTTGACAGTGATAGGATCTGGTTGCGTGGCTTTGGTCCTGAGCTGCAATAATTAGACCTTCCGTCTCAGTGTTCAACCCGGTGCTCTTGAGCCACTGATGTGTTTTCTGTTGGTCCAAATCTGCTTCTTTCGTTCTTTTTATGTGTTTGCCACGCAACGCTATGTCCTCCCTTGTCTTTTTTTGTAATTTCATTTGGCCAGGTTGTTTTGCTCTCAGTTTTATTCGTTTGGCATAGATGGTATTCGCTTCGAAATTTGTTGGCAGGATTTAAGGTATATTAAGCTGTTTCTTGAAGAGTGTCGCTTCTTTGTTGATGGAGGGAATTTGGTGTTTTACTATTTGTAGGAGAGGGTCATTGGTTTTTGTGAGGTAGGCTTTCAATCTGATTGTTGTAGTTTTTAGAGTTAATTCAAGTTGGATTGGACCTCGTCCTTCTAAAGCTCTTGGTTCATACAGCCTATCAACATCTGATTTCGAGTGGTGCATCCTCATTTGGGTAAGCATTTTTCTGGTCTTGGCGTTTCAATGTAATTCATCTTCCATTTAATAATGTTGAAGCTGTATGTTACTATGGGTATATCTAAGTTATTGATATCGTTCATTTTATTGGCCCCAATAGGTTCGCTTTCTAGTATCAAACGCACTCTCCTATAATATTCTTTTTGGATCTTTTTCTTCATAATTGAATGTTTTATTCCGTCTCCTTCATTAATTCCTACGTATTTGTATGGAACATCTTGGTCTAATTCCTTAATCGTGTTGTTGATACCAAAGTCTAAATCTGTAGTTTTCGTTAGTTTACCGCCTTTGAATATGACTTTGACACATTTGTCGATTCCGAACTCCGACCTAATGTCTTCGCTGAAGGTTTTGATAATGGCGAGTAGGTTTTCTTAGCAAACCTTTGAAGATCATCAGCATAGAATAGGTGACTCAGTTTGCCATTTTGTGATTTGTATACGTAACTATTGTTGTTCAGTAGGCAGCTGAGTGGCGCTGATGCAAAGCAGAAGAGTAGTGTCGACAACTGATCTCCTTTGGAAGATCCCGCTTTTGATGTTGATTGGTCTTCATGTTAATGACCCGTTTGTATGGTTTAGGTTTAGTGTAATCTTCCAGTAAAATCTATGCTGTTTTCTCGAATTTTTAATGAATCTAATCTTGTATCTATCGTTTTTTATATAATTCTTCGTACATCTACTATTATGGACACGATGCGAACTTTCCTGTCCCTCGAATGATATCTTCATCTTTCCAATTTCACATTCTGATTGTCATTTGCTTAAGGCCACTAGTAATTAAAGTTCCAAAGCGATCGCCAATACCCACCCCCACCCTAACACCGAACTTTTAGGGAGAAGTGCCGCTTCTGCAGTCTTCAAGAGAAACGAAGAAAGAATAAAATAAGATTGATTTGTTTTTCACCGCTTATCAACCCTTTGCAGGCTATTTAAAGCCAGATAATATTTTTAAATTATAAGATTTTGCAGGGGTGGGGATAATGATTTACTAATTAACTCATAACTGGAGGGTGGAGAAAAGTGGCTTCATAACTGTCACAATGGTATTCGAGCATAAGCCAGTATAAAGTACGCGACTGGAGTTGGAATTCGGTCCCAAGATTTCCAGTTCCGAAGCGTTAGCCATTACACCACCCGCACATTCAAGCTTACAGAACCAGGTATTCTCAAGCGGTCACCCATCTAGGTACTGAACAGGTTCGACCTTGCTTAACTTTGATGATCGTACGAGAACCGATGTTTCATTGTGATATGGCCGTAAGCTCCAAGAAAGAATAACAGAAACGATGAAAGAAAGAAAGAAAGAAAGAAAGAAAGAAAGAAAGAAAGAAAGATCATTGGAATAATAAAGAAAGAAAGAAAGAAAACTGGAAGAAGAAAGAAAGAAAGAAAGAAAGAACATTGGAATAAGAAAGAAAGAAAGAAAGAAAGAAAGAAAACTTCTTTAATAACTATGTTTACAAAGTTAAGCTTATTGTTGGTAAAAAGCTTTAAGTAATAGAACACTCATTGGGGATCGAACTCGATACTACAGGCTAATAGTCCAATCGCTGATCACTATACAACTTTGCGGCATCCTAAGTTATTAAACTTAGCTTAGTTTGGCACAAGGAGAAGGCATTGGGCATCGAGTAAGGAATGAACTTACAGCTAAATAATGGTCAACCATACTAGCTCGTTAACCATTACTCTGTGCCAAGGGGCTTTTCTTAAAGAATTAATTTATTGACAACTACCCCTTTTAATGTCACCTAACGTTAAAAGAAGAAATTTATTTAACTAAGTATGTCATTGTTTTATTTCTTTTGAGAAAACATGTGCACGAGTCCGTGGAAATGGCTCGAATTAATTGGAATCAAGCGGAGAAAAGTAAGTGAAACGGTGAAGGACATCAAAACAGCATCTTCAAAGGCAAGCTACTGGAACCGACTCAAAAAAAACCAATGGAAGAATTAGTGGAATCTGGTGTCGAGTCCTCGCATCAGTGACGTAAAATCTATCGAGAGACAGGATCCGAAACGGAAGATATTTTCTCCTTATGAACTTGGGAAACTCTTGGTATCCGGTACAGGGAAATAGTCGATTGGTAACATTTTCAATTTCCTTTATGTCATATACAAATTTTATCTCATAAAGAAAGAAAGAAAGAAAGAAAAGAAAGAAAATTATGAATAAATATGAATTTAATCTTTTTGTCTGATTTCGTTGATTCTTAAATAGTGACTTCGTATTTTCTTCACAATTTCACTTCCTTTTGAACAAACTGTCAGAAGAGTGAACGAATAAATAAGAAATGGATGTAGAATAAAAAAATTAAGTAATTCCACTTATGGAGAAAGAGAGGCGAAAAATAAGGAACGTTTAAGGAGGAATACAATTATAGAGAGAGGAAAAGAGAAGAAACAGAAGCGAAAGAAAGAAAGAAAGAAAGAAAGAAAGAAAGAAAGAAAGAATTGAAAACCAAAGAAAAATGAAGAATGATAAATACATGGAGAAATAAAAAAAGAGCGGTAAATGAAAAACAATAAGAAAAGAAAAAAGAAAGAAAAGAAAAAAAAGAAAAGAAACGATTGAAAGATAGCAACGACAACTAAAATACACAAAAAGAAAGAAAATAAACAAAGAAAGAAAAAGAAAGAAAAAAAGAAAGAAAGAAAGAAAGAATTGAAAACCAAAGAAAAATGAAGAATGATAAATACATGGATAAATAAAAGAGCGGTAAATGAGGAAACAATAAGAAAGAAAAAAGAAGAAAAAAAAGAAAAAGAAAAAACGATTGTTAGATAGCACGGACAACTAAAATACAAAAAAGAAAGAAAAAGAAAGAAAGAAAAGAAAAGAAAGAAAAGAAAGAAAGAAAGAATTGAAAACCAAAAGAAAAAAATGAAGAATGATAAATACATGAATAAATAAAGAGTAAAAATGAGGAAACAATAAGAAAGAAAGAAAGAAAGAAAGAAAAAAGAAAGAAAGAAAAAGAAAGAAACGATTGTTAGATAAAGTACGACAACTAAAATACACAAAAGAAAGAAAAGAAAGAAAAAAGAAAAGAAAGAAAGAAAGAAAGAAAGAAAATTGAAAACCAAAGAAAAAAAATGAAGAATGATAAATACATGGAGAAATAAAGAGCGGTAAATGAGGAAACAATAAGAAAGAAAGAAAGAAAGAAAGAAAGAAAGAAACGATTGTTAGATAGCACGGACAACTAAAATACACAAAGAAAGAAAGAAAGAAAGAAAGAAAGAAAGAAAGAAAGAAAGAAAGAATTGAAAACCAAAGAAAAATGAAGAATGATAAATACATGGAGAAATAAAGAGCGGTAAATGAGGAAACAATAAGAAAAAAGAAAAGAAAGAAAGAAAGAAAGAAAGAAAAAACGATTGTTAGATAAAAACAAATCTAAAATACACAAAAGAAAGAAAAAAAAGAAAAAAGAAAGAAAGAAAGAAAGAAAGAAAGAAAGAAAAATTGAAAACCAAAGAAAAAAATGAAGAATGATAAATACATGGAGAAATAAAGAGCAAGAATGAAAACAATAAAAGAAAAAAGAAAGAAAGAAAAGAAAAAAAAAAAGAAAGAAACGATTGTTGATAACATGACAACTAAAATACACAAAGAAAGAAAAAAGAAAGAAAAAAAAAAGAAAGAAAGAAAGAAAGAAAGAAAGAAAAATTGAAAACCAAAAGAAAAAAATGAAAGAATGATAAATACATGGAGAAATAAAGAGCAGTAAATGAGGAAACAATAAGAAAGAAAGAAAAAGAAAAGAAAAAGAAAGAAAAGAAAGAAAAAGAAAAGAAAGAATAAGTAAAATATTGACTAAAATACAAGAAAAAAAAAAGAAAGAAAGAAAGAAAGAAAGAAAAAGAAAGAAAAGAAAGAATTGAAAAAAAGGAAGAAAAAATGAAGAATAATAAATACATGGAGAAATAAAGAGCGGTAAATGAGGAAAAAATAAGAAAGAAAGAAAGAAAGAAAAGAAAGAAAAGAAAGAAAAAAAAAAATTGTTAGATAGCACGGACAACTAAAATACACAAAGAAAAAAAAAGAAAGAAAAGAAAGAAAGAAAGAAAATAAAGAAAGAAAGAAAAAAGAATTGAAAACCAAAAAAAAAAATGAAGAATGATAAATACATGGAGAAATAAAAGAGGAGTAATGAGGAAATAAGAAAGAAAGAAAGAAAAGAAAAGAAAGAAAGAAACGATTGTTAGATAGCAAATGACAACTAAAATACAAAGAAAGAAAAAAAGAAAGAAAGAAAAGAAAGAAAAGAAAGAAAAGAAAAGAAAGAAATTGAAAACCAAAGAAAAAAAAAAAGAATGATAAATACATGGAGAAATAAAGAGCGGTAAATGAGGAAACAAAGAGAAAGAAAGAAAGAAAGAAAAAAGAAAGAAAGAAACGATTGTTAGATAGCACGGACAACTAAAATACACAAAAGAAAGAAAAAGAAAGAAAGAAAGAAAAGAAAAGAAAGAAAGAAAGAAAGAATTGAAAACCAAAAAGAAAAATGAAGAATGATAAATACATGGAGAAATAAAGAGCGGTAAATGAGGAAACAATAAGAAAGAAAAGAAAGAAAGAAAGAAAGAAAGAAAGAAAGAAACGATTGTTAGATAGCACGGACAACTAAAATACACAAAGAAAGAAAGAAAGAAAGAAAGAAAGAAAGAAAGAAAGAAAGAAAGAAAGAAAGAAAGAAAGAATTGAAAATTGAAAACCAAAAGAAAATGAAAGAATGAATAAATACATGGAGAAATAAATAAGGAAACAATGAAATGAAACAATAAGAAAAAAAAGAAAGAAAGAAAAAGAAAGAAAAGAAAACGATTGTTAGATAGCACGGACAACTAAAATACACAAAGAAAGAAAGAAAGAAAGAAAGAAAGAAAGAAAGAAAGAAAGAAAGAAAGAAAGAAAGAATTGAAAACCAAAGAAAAATGAAGAATGATAAATACATGGAGAAATAAAGAGCGGTAAATGAGGAAACAATAAGAAAGAAAGAAAGAAAGAAAGAAAGAAAGAAAGAAACGATTGTTAGATAGCACGGACAACTAAAATACACAAAGAAAGAAAGAAAGAAAGAAAGAAAGAAAGAAAAAAAAAAAGAAAAAAAAAAAAAGAATTGAAAACCAAAAGAAAAAAATGAAGAATGATAAATACATGAATAAATAAAAAAAGTGAATGAAAAATATGAAAGAAAGAAAGAAAAAGAAAGAAAGAAAGAAAGAAAGAAAGAAACGATTGTTAGATAGCACGGACAACTAAAATACACAAAGAAAGAAAGAAAGAAAGAAAGAAAGAAAGAAAGAAAGAAAAAAGAAAGAATTGAAAACCAAAGAAAAATGAAGAAATGAGAAAATACATGGAGAAATAAAGAGCGGTAAATGAAACAATAATAAAAGAAAGAAAGAAAGAAAAAGAAAGAAAGAAAGAAACGATTGTTAGATAGCACGGACAACTAAAATACACAAAGAAAGAAAAAGAAAGAAAGAAAAAGAAAGAAAGAAAGAAAAAAAATTGAAAAACCAAAGAAGAAAAAATGAAGAATGATAAATACATGAATAAATAAATAGCAGTGAATGAGGGAAAATAGCGGAAAGAAAAGAAAAGAATAGAAAGAAAGAAAGAAAGAAAAAAGAAAGAAAGAAAGAAAAAAAGATTGTTAGATAGCACGGACAACTAAAATACAAAAAGAAAGAAAAGAAAAGAAAAGAAAAAAAGAAAGAAAGAAAGAAAAGAAAGAATTGAAAACCAAAAGAAAAAATGAAAGAATGATAAATACATGGATAAATAAAAGAGCGGTAAATGAGAAAACAATAAGAAAAAAAAAAGAAAAGAAAAGAAAAAGAAAGAAAGAAAGAAAAGAAAACGATTGTTAGATAGCACGGACAACTAAAATACACAAAAGAAAGAAAGAAAGAAAGAAAGAAAAGAAAAGAAAGAAAGAAAAAAAAAAAAAAAAATTGAAAACCAAAGAAAAATGAAGAATAATAAATACATGAATAAATAAAGAGCGGTAAATGAAAACAATAAGAAAGAAAGAAAAAAGAAAGAAAAGAAAGAAAGAAAAAAGAAACGATTGTTAGATAGCACGGACAACTAAAATACACAAAGAAAGAAAGGAAGAAAGAAAGAAAGAAAGAAAGAAAGAAAGAAAGAATTGAAAACCAAAGAAGAAAAATGAAGAATGATAAATACATGAATAAATAAAGAGCGGTGAATGAGGAAACAATGAGAAAGAAAGAAAGAAAGAAAGAAAGAAAGAAAGAAAGAAAGAAACGATTGTTAGATAGCACGGACGACTAAAATACACAAAGAAAGAAAGAAAGAAAGAAAGAAAGAAAGAAAGAAAGAATTGAAAACCAAAGAAAAAAAATGAAGAATGATAAATACATGGAT